CTGTATACGGGGTAAAATTGGGAGTTCATAACCCACTTGAATCAAACTGTGAAATATGATATATTAAGAACTATGTAATGTTTTGAGCGACCAACAATTAAAAAAAATTCCTAGCAGAATTGGTCAACAAAAAACTAAATGGCCAGTAAATCAGAGACATATAGGTACTGTGAGAGGCAGTGCCACTAGGTTGGTGGAATTATGAGGTAGTAATAAAGGAATCTGAGAAAAAATTCAAAAGAAAAATAGCTTTATTTTCAAAGGGTCATGAAAGAACTCTAATGGGCAACTCAGGCTGGTTTGGAAGCGAAGTGTTATACCAGGGTCAAATCAGTAGAAGATCCCACAACCAATGCCCTAGGACAAAACTGGACCTATATAGAGAACTGCTGACACATATTTATCCTCCTCTAATATTTAACTGCTTCAAAAGTAGAATTTATTCCTGATGACATTTAACAGTAAACAATTATGGTTATTCTTACTAATTTTATCTCCACTAATTGTAAAGATAATCACTGGGCTGTAGCTCAGTGGCAGAGCACTTACCTTGCACCTGTGAGGCACTGGGTTCCATCCTCAGCACCACATAAAAATAAATAAAGATATTGTACCAACCACAACTAAAAAAAGCTAAAAAAAAGATAATCAATGATATTAACTACTACAATAAATATCCATCTGGTTAGGTCCAATTTTATCCTAAGCCTGCTATTCACTGATACTCATGCTATCCAATATAATGCTAGTCAGTAAGAAGTAAATGATCCTAGTTATTACTAACATTTTACCTTGTGTGAGGACAAATCAATTTTGGACTGGTCTCAGTCACGACTCCTCATTCATCTTCCTCAATGTTAACTTTTCCTTCAAAAGTCTAAATAGCATATGAGAATCCTTTGTACTATATTTTTAATTTTTCTGTAAGCATTCTAAAAAGTAAAGTTTTTTAAGTTCACTAAAAATGAATAAGTAATGATATAGTTTAGACAGAAGAGATAGAGAGGCCCAAATCATAGGCAGTTTCTCTGGTACCTCAGGGCTTCTCACTCACACAGCCTGTCAGACCTTTTACCTAGTACACAGACTCTGAAGCCCGACTGCCTAGGTTTTGATTTTGGCTTCACAATTTTCTAGCTGTTGGCAAGCTACTTAACCTTTTCTCTTAAATGTAAGAATGACAGACCAGGTGTGGTAGTACACACCTGTAACCCCAGCACTCCTATAACCCCTGCTGCTTGGGAGTCTAAAGCAAGAGGATCATTCAAGGCCAGCCCGGGCAATTTAGAGTGACCCTGTCTCAAAATTTTAAAAAAGTTTTTAAAAAAGGCTGGGGATGTCACTTATTAGTAGCATGCCTGTCTAGCATGTGTGAGGCCCTAGTCTCAATCCCCAGTCCTGCCCCCCCCCCCGAAAAAAAGAATGTCAGTCCCAACTTTTTTTGTGGTCATAAGGATTAAATGACATAATATGCATAAAGTACTGAAATGAATGATGTCACACAGTAACTTCCACATAAGTATTTGTAAAATGAATAAAGTTATTATTAATTATCTATAGTCACACAAGTTAAGAAGATATGAGCATGGTTGCTAAGAACCAGGTAGTGGTTGCCATAGATATACCAGAACCTCGACAGCCATTATTAGGACATTGCCTACCCTTTAGAAGTGGACAAGTGGGCTGTTACTCTGTCAAGAAGGCTAGAAAGCTCAATGAACCTTTTCATTACTCTACATACCTTATGTTTCTCATCCAAAAAGGAGCAACTACTCATTACAGAAGTAATTAACCACCTCAAGGTAAGCAAACTATAATGTCAATCTCCTTTTACAGATGAGAAATCTGAAAACAGTAGTTTCAATGTAGGTGATACACAGGAGAGGCACTAGAAATAAAAGATAGGATCATTTATCACTAGTTCAATTGTTTTCCCACTTGGTTATACTACTTACTCTCTGTTCTAAAGGAAGAACTTCTGTGATGCCTATTTGATTCTTCTTAGTGGCACTGACAAATACACAGAGCCAGGGTTCAAGCCCGGATGCTCTGCCAATGATCAGAATAGACATGAAGCTGTTACTGGACCTTGCTTATCTTAAGGGGAGATAGCTATCATGGAACCCAGACAATTAGACTCTGGTGTTTCAAGCTTCAGGTCTTATCAGCTTCATCAGCAAAACTGGAATAAGGCCGGTTTTGATGACTAGCCATATATAAGGTTTCCCTTTTGTATGGCATAAGCCAGAGCCATACTCCAGGAGTGTTTATGGAAGCTGAATGATTTCCTACAGAGAGAGCTGTGCTCTAAGAAATGCTATGAAATGTGACTATTTGGGAATGGCAATCCTCCAAAAGAGGATGACTAGATGACTCTGCAAAACCCTGCCAAGTTATCCATTAATAAGCTGGCACACAAACGCTCATCAGATAGCAAAATCCCATCTAAGTATCAACTGAAGTATTTTCCTAAGCCAACCAGGCCTTCCTCCAATTCTGAACTCCAATATAATTAACTACTAGGGAAATGTAAACCAAAACTACAAGGAGCCAGATGCAGTGGTACATACCTGTAAACCTAGTTATTGGGAGGTGAGGGAGTACGGAAGCAGAAGGATTCCAAATTCGAGGCCAGCCTGGTCAACTTATTGAGACCCTGTCTCAAAATTAAATAAAAATATGACTCAGGAGACTGAGACAGGAGGGTCACAAATACAAGGCCAGCCTCAGCAACTTAGTGAGACCCCTATCTCAAAATAAAAAAATAAATAAAATAAAAATGGAGAGTTGTTACTGAGAACAGATTTCCCAACAGGGCCTTCTTTAAATCTAACCTGATTTCTCTCCAAGATATAGTCCTACTCCCTTCCCAAGGTAGAATAAATATATTACTAACAAATAGGGACAAACTAGTTGAAGGGATAGACCACACCACCTGTGTCTATGTGGGTTGCTTTAATAACAAGCCACTAGCTGGGCATGGTGGCACATGCCTGTAGTTTAATTCCCAGCAGCTCAGGAGGCTGAGCCAGGAGGATCGCTAGTTCAAAGCCAGCGTCTGCAAAAGTGAGGCACTGCCAGGGTTGTGGCTCAGTGGTACAGTGCATGCCTGGCATGGGTGAGGTGCTGGGTTTGATCCTCAGCACACATAAAAATAAACAAACAAAGGAATTGTGTCCAACTACAAATAAATAAATAAATAAAGGGAGGCCCTAAGCAACTCAGTGAGACCCTGTCTCTAAATAAAATACAAAATAGGGCTGGGAAGGTGGCTCAGTGGTCAAATGCCCGAGTTTAATCCCTGGTGCTGTCCTCCACCCAAAAAAAGCCACTTCATTTTGTTGGAAGATATATATCAGCACAAGAGCAGTCACTGGAGTTGAGGATAACCTGTTTCTCTATGACATTTATAGACAAAGTTGGACAGAATAAAGTAATAAAATTATAACAGTCCCAGGATTTCTGTTTACCAGCACCTGTGTAGTTGTAAGTTGTTTTAGGTTCAAGTGTTAATAATGGGCCTGAGTTCTCATATACTTTCTTCTCTTAATATTCAAGAACCAAGTTGAATCATGTTCCGGCTACTGACCTCTTGCTGGTCCCGGCTAAAACCAACTGAAGAGAAACGAAGGTAATGTTACAATTATTTTTCTAAACCCATTCTACCACCTCCTCCCATGTATTTGCCCACAATCCCTCAAGGGACAAATCATTGTGATATATTTGGGAAATGACTGAGTAGTAGCTGCATGATGGGGAATAGGGCTGAGGGAGGAAGGCTGTTTCTACAAGGTAATTTAATTAAGAAAGAAGAGCATCCTTGGAGGCTTTGGGGAGGGGCTCACATAGCACCTTCTACCACTTTAGCTGGGCTTTTTATGTTACATGCATTGGGACTACTACATATCCTCAAACACTAAGGAAGACTAGAATTCTAGTATCTTTCGCTGAACAATTAACAATGTTTTATGGGTTTGGCTAATTTCTCTTTTCTATTTCCAGGAATGCGACTGTCATTATCATTGGCTTGGAAAACTCAGGCAAAACTGTTCTTGTGGAGGCCTTTCAAAGATGTGAGAAACTAAGAGCATTAGATACTGGTGTAGGTCTTCCAGAGTCCAGTGAAATAGTCATTCCATCCTAGTCTTATTTCCTAGACCTTAATTTCCCTCTTTTGAAGGATAAACACCTCCCAAAACACACACACACACACACACACACACACACACACACACACACCCTTCAGTGTTACCAGCCTTAACTTTTTATGTTTTAATTAGTTATACATGACAGTAGAATGCACTTATATACTTTGATATATCATACATAGATGGGATATAAGTTCTCATTTTTCTGAGTATACATATTATAGAATCACATCGGTCATACAGTCATACATACATAAAGTAATAATGTCTGCTTCATTCTACTATCTTTCTTATCCCCACATACCCTTCCTTCCCCTCCTTTCACTTCCCTCTACCTAATCAAGATAACACTATTTTTTTTATTTCTTAATACACATATATACCACAATTTTTGTATCTGTTTGTATATAATGTTGACACCCAATTAAAGTCTTCATACATGTACTTTGTATAATAATGTCCATCACATTCCACCATCCTTACTAATCCCCTGCCCCCTCCCTTTCACTCCCACCCCTCTTTCCCTATCTAGAATTCACCTATTCCTCCCATACTCTCCCTCCCAATCCCACTATGAGTCAACCTCCTTATATCAGAGAAAACATTCGGCATTTGTTTTTTTTTTGGGGGGGGGGGATTGGCTGACTTCACTTAGCATTATCTTCTCCAACGCCATCCATTTACCTGCAAATGCCATGATTTTGTTCTTTTTTAATGCTGAGTAAAATTCCATTGTGTGTATATGCCACATATTTTTATCTATTCATCCACTGAAGGACATCTAGTTTGGCTCCACAGTTTAGCAATTGTGAATTGTGCTGCTATAAACATTGATGTGGCTGTGTCCCTATAGTATGCTGTTTTTAAGTCCTTTGGGTATAGTCCGAGGAGAGGGATAGCTGGCTCAAATGGTGGTTCCATACCCAGTTTTCCAAGGAATCTCTGTATTTCAGCCTGTTTATATAATATCTGTCATGCATTCCCTTTGTAAGATGACCTAATTGAAAGTCTTCTCATATTGTCTATATAAATGAATTCAAACTATGTAAAGCATTGCAGTCAATTATGAAGGAGAGCATGTTTGAAATGGTGTCTAGTTCCAGAACTCAATTAAAGTGGAATTTGGTCTAGATAAGAGACAAGTGTGGATGATAAAGAAGTTTAATAACATGAAACCCTTGGTGACAACTAATATAGAAAGTTGGAGCTTCAGAACTGTCAGTTTGGAGATGTGCAAGTTTAATACCATATCTCTAGTTTAATACCTTGACATTTCAAGAAGCACTTACACAGAATTTCAGGAAGCTACTATACTAGTTGTGAAGACCCAGCTAACTGCTAGTCAATCACTTAAAGAGGCCAGTACTGTGTCTGGTTTAGGACATCCTCAATGTTCACTGAATAAATGAAGGGGTATGATGACATGGCTGAATTTTATCTAAACTGGCAGCCCTAAGCTGACTCTTCTGCCACTGGCCAATTTGAAGCCCCTAAACTATAGCAGCAGCTTTCTGGATGATCTTCCTATCTCCGGCCTCCCCACCCCCAGTTAACATGAGGAATTATACAAAACTCTGATCATGCTTTCCTGCACAAAACTGCTCAATGCCTCCCCGTTGTCTTCAAAACAAAACTTACATTCCTTAGCACTACACAAAGCCTTTCATGGTTTGGTCCCCAACTCCTCCTTCAGCTTCATTTTCCATTCTCCCCACGTATGTCCTCTGATAAAATCAATACAGATGCTTTGCCATCCTCTGTCACCACAGCACTCTAAGTCACAGGACTGCATTTTCTGAACCTGCTGCCCACTACTTAGAATTTCATTCCCTCCATTATCTATCTGCTTAATCAAACACCTCAAGTCACAGTGGAAGCTTGAACACAGGAAAGCCTCCTCTAATCCCCAGTTCCTCACTCCCACTTTATCCTAAGCATCCCTATAGCATGCATTTGTAAGAATACCCTGTTCAACTCCAAGTCCATACCCTAGACTGTGATCCCCTTGAGGAGACATAATGGATCTCGTCTTCTCTATCTTTAGTGCCTTCACTAAAGTGAAGTATCTTCAGGAGGGTACTCAATACATATTTGTGGAATTAATGTGTTCCCCCATTCAAGACTACATTTACCATCTTATCTTTTTTAATATTTTTTTATTTGTTGATAGACCTTTACTTTAATGTGGTATTGAGAATCGAACCCAGTGCCTCACACATGCTGGGCAAGTGTGCTTTCACTGAGCCACAGCCCCAGTCCCCCATCTTATATCTTCTTCCCCTGCCCCAACAGCAGCTCCAAGCACCACATTTTAGCCAATGGTTCCCTGCCTCCCTGCTCAGTAAAGGCAGCAAACTTGATTCCTTGCTTCTTAATTCTCATAGGCAAACATTATAAGAAAATCAGCAGCAGCAGGAAAGTCAAGGAGCCAGGATAGACCACCATATTACTGATATAACTGAGGTTAATTTTCTAGAGCTCCAACTCAGCTTCATGTCTAGATTCCCATTCAGTTTGGGTGGGACCTGGGAATCTATTTTAAGAACTCTCCAGGTGTTACTGATGGTCAGCCAGCTTTTGGGAAGTACTCATCTGAAAGTAGCCCTATGTAATTTGTCTATGAGAATAGTGTCTGTTTTCTGCTATAATTCCTGAGAAAAATGCCTGAAGTCTATTTATTGTTACTGCATAACTTGCCTTGTGCTTAGTGAATGACTTGGGACTAATTCACAAATGTATTGGTTTATAGTGGTGACTTCATTCTCAGAAGAGTTTTTAATGAGCACTGATATCACATTCTGAGGCATATCTCATGTTACTCTGTTCACACAGGACCACCAGAGTCAATGTAGTAGGTTATTCTGTACCCCAAATTGAGTAGGTCACCTCCCCTACTCCTGCAAATGTTTTTAAGATGATTGCCAAGAACAGACAATTGCCTAGAAGGAAATTCCAGTCTACAAGTAGTAATTTGTGTGAACATTTAGAGACATCAGCTATAAAATATTGTGGTACACTTTGGGGGGGGCGGGTACCTGGGATTGAACCCAAGGGTGCTTAACCACTGAGCCACATCCCCAGTTCTTTTATATATTTTTATTTAGAGACAAGTCCTCGCTAAGTTGCTGAGGCTGGCTTTGAACTCATAATCCTCTGGCTTCAGCCTCCAGAGCCACTGGGATGACAAGTGTGTGCCACCTACCGACCCTGGCAAGATATGATTATTGATGACACCATTCACTGTAACTGTTTTTTTCTGACATGGTCATATGGGGTAAGAAACTCGAGCATGAGCACAAAAAGGTGCCCTAAATAAGGACATATGGACCAGTGCCTCTCAAAATTGGCTATGTGTTTTAATTACCTAGAAGCATTATTAAAAAAAAAAAAAACTCACAGAAACCCATGATGTTTAAGCACCACCCCAGATCTATGAAATCAAACTATCAGAGAATGAAGCCTATCTTCACAGGTTTCCACAGGTAGCCTGATGTGGTTGTGCATGTGTATAATCCCAGTGACTTGGGAGGCTAAGGCAGGAGGTTTGCAAGTTTGAGACCAGCCTTGCAACCAAGTGAGACTCTGTCTCAAAATTAAAAAACAGAAGTGTTGGGGATATAGTTCAGTAGTAAAGCAAAAAGCTTCAGAGGTAATCATGAACAATGAATACTAAGAGCCTATGACCAGAATCACCTAGGAAGCCTTCAAACCTCTGACTAAGCACCTGCAGGCCCAGACACTTTGGTCTGGGGCAGGTTATGAAATCCGTAACTTAATAACTTTCTCCAGATGATACTGAGATACATCAGGCATGAGTTTCATGTCTCTCTAGAGCAGTGGTTTTTCTGCTCTTATGTGCAGAAGAATCACCTGGGGATTTTGTTAATTATAAGGAATTTGTTACACATACAAATGATTGGATCCCAAACCTAGAGATTCTGAATCATTTGGCCCAGTTTAGGAGCTAACAATCATGCCCATGGAACTCTGAAGTAGACAATCCCCCAACCATGCTTTATGAAACACTGTCAGGAATGAGAGCCAATACTTTTCCTTGGGGGTGTTTATGAATTAATAGAGGAAATAAGAGAAATGTAAATTGTAAGGGAACTTATGGCATCTAGGGTTCATCAACAATAGATTGTTACTGAAGGAATTAGCAAGATTTCAAGTAGAAGGAAAAAAATAGGAAAAACTTTTTTTAAAATTCTGACATGGAAAAAATAGCATAAAGCTCATCAAGGTACAGGAATCAAGATTTTAAAATTACCTTCCGAGTTTTTAACCTATTCACTTATTAAGTAGTCTAATACACACATACCAAATGTCATATCAAAGTTGTGACTGAAAATTGTTATCTGAGAGCTATAATGAAAAAGATCATTGACTTATAAAACAGGTTTTATAAAATCAGATTAAAATGTAATGATAATATACATATAAACATATATACTCATAAAAGTGTGGAATCATATATTTCTAAAGATCTAAAAGCATATTACTAACTACTCAGCTTAATGACTCATTTTGGCAATCCTGTGGAGAATGTCACAGGCAGATCTGAGGCTATAAGAAGTTATTGATTCTGGTCTTAGTACTCCCAGGTGTGGGTGTCAAGAATCAATAAAAGCATTTTGCTACTAACATGAGCAGAGAGCTAGGCCAGAACTAACAGTTCAGCAGACTGAAATTCATATAAAGGCTGTTTGGGTTGTTTTTTGTTTTGGTACCGGGGATTGAACTCAGGGGCACTCAACCACTGAGTCACATCCCCATGCCTATTTTGTATTTTATTTAGAGACAGGATTTCACTGAGTTGCCTAGGGCCTCGATAAATTGCTGTGCCTGGCTTTGAACTCAAGATCTCCTATCTCAGCCTCCTAAGCAGCTGGGATTGCAGGCGTGAGCCACCACACCTGGCTAGGGCTGTTGTTTTGAACTGAATTTCTATGGATGCTGAATGAAGTATGGACTTCTGTATGAGATTTTATGATCTGGACATGGCTTTTAAAGAGGGAAATGTGCCCAAGTCTGTCATGGTTTCTTGGAAGAGATATGTGAGACAAAGCTTCATACCTTCATCCATAGAAACTGCCACCATAAACACTTAAGCGAATACATACAGTGTAACCCACGGTTTAACAGGTAATAGGCAAGCACAGAAATAGATGAAGGACCAGTCCAGACAATGTGTTGAGAGAGTTGAGAGGTGAGCAGACCAGAGAAGGCTCTTAAGTTGGGCCTAAAGAAAGGGGGCAGAGAGAAGGGCCTCCTGTTGGTTCATTCATTCATCAAATTCTTTCAACAAATATTTAGTGAGTACCTGTGTGCCAGCCGTCATGCTGAGCATCATGAATCTAATAGCGAACAAAATTAAAAGGGCTCCCTTTCCTGTTGTAGTTTAGTTGATAAGTAAACCATAAAATTAATAATACTGTGATATATGTGATGAAAGGCACATTATCCATACTGGGGATGGTGGTGTAAAGCAAATTTTTCTATAACAAACAAGATCTAATTGATTTTTTTTTAAAAAATAGGCATTATCCAAACATATAGTAGTAGAAGAGTATTCTAAGCTGAGAGAATAGCATCCTGTGAAGGCCAAGGAAAGAGAGAGCATGGCATGTGTGTCAAGTGGGGAAAGTGTAAGCAAAGGAGCAGAGGGAGGAACAGACTGGATGGGAGCCAGAGACATTGTGACCATCAACTTTGTTAGAGTGCAGGAGACAGGCCTGGCAGGTTAGAAGCTAAAGATGTCTGCATTCTATCCTGGGAGCAAAGGGTTATTCACTGCAGGTTACTAAGCCAGGAAGGGGTGGCACAGGCAAAGTGATGGTTTGAAAAGATACATCCACCAGAATGAGCAGGGTGACAGGATTTTTCAGTAACATTTTTCAGAGTAGGATCTAGTCAAAATTCAACAAATTGTTTGACCTAATATTTCCCTGATTTGTGGTTGCTTCTCCCCTCTGCCCCTGTATCCAGTACTTCCCAGCAGGATAAACAATGATGTGAAATCAGAACTGACTACACTCCTGCTAGATGAGTATGAAGTGGCCATGTATGACCTAAATGGAGATCTGAAGGGCCAAGAAAAATGGCCAAACTACTATGCTCAAGCACAAGGGCTTGTTTTTGTCGTGGATTCCAGTGATGTAGAACGTATGCAGGAAGCAAAGAACATCTTAACACGTCTAATGTCTGACAAAAGAGTGGCAGGGAAACCCATCTTACTGTAAGATTCTGCTTTTATGCACTATTTCTCTTTCCCAATTTTTACCTTAAGAGAAGTCTAGAGATAAAAGGCTGGGCAGTCCCTTTGTCACACCTTGCTAGATCTCATCTTCACTTAGGCTCAGTGAGGTGGAGTGGCCCAGTCCTCTGTTTTCAAGAGCCACATTCTACTACACACTGCCACATGGAATACATTATTGGTTTGTGCAAAGATAATTCTGAAGATATTCATCAAAGAAAAATAGAAGGGATATCTGGATCACCCACCTCCAAACCTGGACTCTTCCTCAACTCTTTCCAACTTTGCTTCTCATATTTTCTGGTTTCATTCTCTGATCCTGAAACCTCATGGTACAAGAAAACAACCACTAAGAACTAGCTCCCCTATCAACTTGCTCAAGAGTTATATAACTGGCACTTATTTCAGGGTGATAATTTAGGTGACCAGTCAATCTTCACCCCTAACAACTCCTTTTTCATTCCTCATTAGCAAGCCCAACTAGAACATGAATAGAGTTTAAATGAAGATGTAAAAATGCTAAGTCCATTCATATCCCAGTTAGCAACTGTAGTTAAAAGTTTGATGGCATGAAGTAGGAGAAATGAGAAATGAGCCCTGTGGATTACTTTGGACTCAAATTATTTGTACCATTATTTCCTCCACTGAGAGCTGGCTAGAAAATTTTCTGTCTCATTAGATGTCTTTCAACCCAATTCCTGGATATGTAATAGTTATACAAGATTAGTTCTCCTCTTACTGTTTGCCTCTATTTTGGTTCACTCTTTCTCTCTTCTTTCCTCCCTCTATATGTTCTATTCTAGCCTGGCTAACAAACAAGACAAAAAGGATGCCCTCTTGCCTTGTGATATTATCGAATACCTACTTCTGGAAAGGCTAGTGAATGAGAATAAGTCCAAGTGCAGAGTGGTGAGTGTTAACCTCTTCCTTCACTCTTCCTCTATAACCTGTCTGATAAAGTCTAGGCCATTTCATAATTAGCCCCATATGTTGGATTTGGGGCAAAGCCACTCCCTGACAGGCAACATCTACAGTGATGATTTCTAATTTGATAGTGGTAACAAATATTGCATTTTACCTTCAAAACAGTTGAAAGTTTTAATATCCCCATTTTATAGATAAGAAAACTAAGGCTGCCAGGCGTGGTGGCACACACCTGTGTTCCCAGCGGCTCGGGAGGTTGAGACAGGAAGATCAAGAATTCACAGTTAACCTTGGCAACTTAGTGAGGCCCTAAGCAACTCAGTGAGACCCTGTCACTAAATAAAAATATAGAAAAAAGGCTGGGGATGTGGCTCAGTGGTTAAGTGCCCTGGGTTCAATCCCTAGTACCAAAAAACAAATCAAAAAAATGCTAAGGCTTAAAAAGAGATCAGAAGTGACTTGCTCCAAGTCACACATCCAAGATCCCCCATCCACTTTGTTAAAGGACTTCAGTTTTTGTGCCTTCCATTTACTTTTTCAGATGTGAATGCTGAGTGTCTCATAGGGAGTCTAGAGTCTCTCCAGACACAGCATAGCTTATATGTACCTCTGCTATTTAGATGAGTGATTGGTTTGTTGGCCCCAAGGGTCCCAGGCTCCAAGTCTCAGACCTTCTCTTCTTTTTTGTCACAGGAGCCATGTTCAGCCATCAAAAACCTCCAAAGGAGGAACCATCATCCCATAATTGAAGGGCTGCGCTGGCTACTAGCTGCCATTGGAGATAAATATGAAGAGCTGTATATTAGCCAACAACCACCCACTTTGAGCTTTCCAACCTCCAAGAGTACCAGAGGCTCTGGAGAAAGATGCTCATCAGATAGGTAATGAACTGCCTCCATTAGATTTATTCCACTAGATTTACTGATAGAAGCAGGAGTCAATCTTCAACCTGAGCAAGTAGTTCTGAGAGATAGGTTATGGGAAGGTACTAAGCAAGTCTCTCAAGATCACATGGGCAGGGCTGGGGATGTGGCTCAAGCGGTAGCGCGCTCGCCTGGCATGCGTGCGGCCCGGGTTCGATCCTCAGCACCACATACCAACAAAGATGTTGTGTCCGCCGAGAACTAAAAAATAAATATTTAAAAAAAAAATTCTCTCTCTCCTCTCTCTTTAAAAAAAAAAAATCACATGGGCCAAGTGGGGCTAGGGCAATGCCCACCAACACTCCAAGAAGTCAGGTACACACCACCCCTGGCACAACTTCAATGGTCATGCCAGAGGGAAAAGTTGCATAAAGGTAAAGTCCATATATCCCCATTACAGCTTTTCCAAAATAGGGCTTGTTCTATTCTCTGGCTTGCCATGTGGAGGAGAAAAGGAACATTAGCATCAGTTAAGGAGTCTAGTGGTATTATTCAATGAATGTATGTCATGGAGCTATTCCACATTTCTGCTTTCAGTTATCTGATCCTCCTAATAAGGAGTAAGAAGATAGCACAGAGATATTGAAAAGAGAAAACAAAAATAAAACAGGTGGTGATCAAAATTTTCAGGAATAAAAGGCCTAAATGTCCTCTTGCTCTGTTGTCACTTTCATTGACCAAAGGCATATGGGAGAAATGGGGTAATAGCTACATTAGATGTTTGTGTGTCTGTTTCTACTACTGCTTTGTTCTTTCAAATTTCCTCAGCTTCTCTACCAGAATAGTAATGTCCAAAGAAAAAAGACAGAATTTCGAGAAAAGACAGCATTTTGAGAAAAGACAGCATTTTGGACAACGCTCCATGGAAGCTAGGCCTCTAAAACCAATTCTACAGGTAAATGGCTCTTTGTTACTACCCAGGGACAATTCTTGAATTCTTTGAGCACCAACTGACTTTTCCCCCCATGTTCTTGCTGTACAGAAAGATGGCCTAAGATTAAGGCCTAAAAAGAATATATCAGTGACATTTGCTTTAGATGAACCCATGGAGGAAGGTGAATGTTCTGGGGGAAATGGAGCACAGAACATTACTGAGCCTCACTACAACCGAAGCAATAACTTACAGACTCCAGCTCCATATGTTGGTGATGATCTTTTTGAAGGTAATATTGAACCAGTGACTAAAGAAAAGGGCTTCCCTTTCCCTCACAATTTCAACAATATTACTCCTGAGGCTGAAATCCTTTTCTCACACCATGGTTGATGACTAGACTAAGTATAGGGAAAATGCTTAGGGATCACCACCTAAAAGCCCAGTATGATACCCTAGTATTATTTGATATATGATCTTTGGATGGCCATAGGGATATCTTAAAGGTTGACTCTCAGTGGTGGAAATATAATTGGTAAAATCTTTATGGAGGATAGTTTGACCATTTCCCATCTTCCCTCAATATATATATCAAGGAATTTTAAAAATGTGGAAGCCTAGCCTGGTGCCATGGCACACACCTATAACCCCAGGAGTTCTGGAAACTAAGGCAGGAGGATCTCGAGTTCAAAGCCAGCTTCAGCAATTTAGCAAGGCATTAAACAACTCAGTGAGACCCCGTCTCTAAATAAAATACAAAACAGACCTGGGGATGTGGCTCAGTGGTCGAGTGCCCCCAAGTTCAATCCCCAGTACCTCCCACAAAAAAAAATGTAGAAGCCCTTTGATCCCAATAGTCTCATTTCTTCAGCTACATCCAAAGATAATTACGTAAGTACCCCCCACCAAAAAGTAAGTATGCTCAAGGATGTTAAATCACAGCATTGTGTACAACAGCTAAAGGTTGGAAATAAACTACGTGTCCAACAATGGGAAATTGCTAAATAAATTAGGATACCTCCACATAATGAAATGCTATTAAAAATGTGACATGGAAAGTTTTCCACAACCTGACATTTTGGGAAAATAGCATTATTTATATTGAATAGAATATTGAATAGATTAGAATACATAGTGTGACGTGTGTGTGTGTGTGTGTGTGTGTGTGTGTGTGTGTAGAGAGAGAGAGAGAGAGAGAGAGAGACAGACAGACAGACAGATAGAGACAGAGAGAGGTAGGTAACACCAAAAATGAGCAGTGATTTTTCTCTAGGGATAAGGTACTGGGTGACATTAACAAGTCTTTGGATTTGCATTTTATTCAAAATGTTCTTTTTTATAAGCAGATATAATCCCTCCCAATACAATAAAGACATTTGAAAAAAAAAGCTGTAAGGGCTTAAAGGCTCACTGTTATTAATGGCCACTCCTTATTTTTCCTTGGGACCAGTCTTCAAAACTGTCAACTGTCAATCTTACAATGTCACCTCAGTTCTGAAAGGAATCTAGCCCTTCAGGATACCCAGAAGTCCAGGGACCTGGACTTAGCCAGAGCCAATAAGGCAAAGACACGGATAAAGGGGAAAGGATGAGAATTAAGTAGAAGGAATCTAGGGCTGGGGTCGTGGCTCAGCAGTAGAGCACTCACCTAGTGCCTCCGAGGCCCTGGGCTCAATTCTCAGGACCAAGTAAAAGTAAATAATTAAAAACAAAGGTGTATAAGTAAAAGAAATAAATATTTTAAAAAGTAGAAGGAATCTAAAAAAAGAGAAGGAATATATTTCTAGATTATCAGCAACAATCCCTAAATCTTTGGCCAATATTGAAATCCCTTTTCATTTTTATAACCTCAGAACCTACTGCAAAAAAGAAAATGGATACCTGGGAGATGTTATAAAAAAATTCCTGTGGAAAAACCCTTGGTTCCTGTATTAGTACTCTTTAAATGAAGGGCAGAGGGGAGAGAGTAGGAGAAAGCATGAGGCTGGGCACCTCATGGGTTGCAGTGTATACCCCTACCCCCCATCCCCGGAAACTGGCTTGCATCCTCCTACCCTTAAGTGTTCAGGGAAGGAAAGAAAATCTGACACTTGGCTTTACTTGCAGTGACTGACCTTTTCTTTTATTAGGCTTTTAAAGGACTATTAAAAAAGAGAAAAACAGAGGGAAATCCAAAGAAACATCTCAATATACTTCCCTCACCAAACGGATTCATCACCAGAACCAGCAGGGACACTCAGGTTTTTTTAAACTTCTATTTGATAATATCAGTCCACCATGCACAAGTCCACCTACTCTAACATCACATCCTTGAGAACCACCATTATACCTGTACGTCTGTATTATACTCAGCAAATTAATCCTACACCCACTAAGAGGCTCAAGAAGTTAGGGGGTGTCCATTTGAGAAGGAACACCAACTTGGCAAAGAAGAACAGAGACTTTACATCTTTCATACCCAGATGCTCCTACTGAAGCTTCAGGCAAGATGTCGTGGGTGACTAACTGAAATAGATTGTCAGAAGTACAGGGTTACTTTAGAATCACATTTTTTCCTTTAAGGTTCTTGCACGTCAAGGGGATGGCAAAATAAATAGAATCTTTTTGTTGAGAATTATGCTCTACTGAATCATTTTAAGTCACACCTCCAAGAAAACAACTTGGTTTTCAAGTGCTAGCCACTATCTGATAAGCCCAACATTTCTTTGCTGTCTCTTCAGGGACGGCAACTAATGCCTCTCTTACCAACTAAATAAATTCAACCCTGTATCCCAAGGGTGGTGGTGGTGGTAGTAGTTTTACTATTATTTCTATCATTACTTTCATTATGAGTACCATAGCCACCATTTATTGAATACCTTCTCGATGTCAGTCACACTACACTAAGTGTGAATACACACTACACTAAGTGTGGATATCTGGGAAAAGCCCTTGGTTCCTGTGTTAGTACATCTTAAATGAAGAACAGAGGGGAGAGAATAGGAGAAAGTGTGAGGCTGGGACAGAAGGTGGTCTTCTTCCAGGACTTTTAGGGCCTAACCCCCGTCAGAGGTACTTAAAGCACTAAGTGCTAAGCTCTTCACATTGATTATCTTATTGATTATCTTTGGAGGTATGCATTACACTTGACTGCATTTTACAGATGAGGAAACTGTAAAAAGTAGAGCGAGGAATTGAATCCAGACTTGTCTGACTTTAGATCAGAAAGATTTACTTATGCCTTTCTTAACCTCCCTTCAAAGAGAGAAATCTATAGAGCTGGGGAATGTAGCTCTGGAGTAGAGAACTCTGCCTAGCATGTGTTTGAGCTCTGGGTTTGATCCCCAGTACTGGGGGGAAAAAGAAAGCTATAACCAAGAAAAAATGCTGAAGTATATCTATGCCCATATCATAAAAATTATGTTAATACCAATAAGAGCAGCAATAGCAGACATGGTTGATTGAGCATTTCCATTTTTCCAGGGCTAAGTGCTTTACATATATTATTGTCTTTCATCCTCATAAGCAGATGAAGTTACATAATTATTACCTTACAGAGGTAGAAACTGATGTTAAGAAAGTTTAGATAATTACCCATGGCACCCACTAGGAGGCACCAGAATTGATTTTCAAACCAAGGTCTGACTCTATAACACAGTCTTAGCTCTACTCTATACCATTTTACAAAGCAATAAAAACGAACTAATCCATAATTGTTTGAGGGACAGAAATCTGACACAGAAAGATCCATCTTCCAACCTCACTTGGAAGATCTGACACTGTTTAAGGCTGCATCATTTGCTCTTATCTCCAAGGGTCTCTGATTGGCTTTGTGCTCAGCTTATTAGTCATGGAGCTGAGAGGAAGATTTTAGAATCTCTAGTTCAATCCTGTTGTTATACAGAAGAAAAGCTTAGGGTATACACAGGTTAAGTGACATGCCCAAAATGATAGTTGGTCACTGGCAAAGCTATTCAAAAATCCCCCCATCCTGTCCCAAAATACTATATCCATGCTAGGTACCCTGAGTCTTAGGCTGAGAAGCCTACCTACCTACTTTCTCTAGTTTTCCTGATAAATGTCACTGGAGAATTCTGCTGATAAACATTCTCACCAAGGGAAGCAAACACTTCTACTAAAGAATAATTCTGGGGCTGGAGATGTAGCTCAATGGTATGGCATGTGCAAAGTCCTGGGTTCCATCTCCAGCACTGCCAAAACAAAAACAAAACCACATGCCTGGATTAAAGCTTTTAAATTACTTTTAAAAGTAAAAACAGCTTTCTAATGATCTGACCAAGATCTTCCACTAAATGATAGTGTTGGTAGCTAATATTTACCAAGTTACTAAGATATGCCAGAGGCTATCTAGACATTTTTATATGAATTGTCTCCTTTAAACTTTTTTTTTGGGGGGTGGGGGTGCTGGGGATTGAACCCAAGGCCTTGAGCGTGTGAAGCAATCACTCTACCATCTGAGCTATATCCCCACACTCTCCCCTTTAAACTTTAAAACAGGCCTCTAAAGGAATTGCCAATATTTCTGCCTGGGATTTGGAAAGTACATTAATAGCCTATAGCAACAAAATTCAGATTCATTCAAAAAGTTTTCTTATTTTGAATCAACATGTACTGGTTGTATAGAGATTATTCTTTAAGTAACTTTTTAAGACTATAGATTGTGTGTAGGAAATTTTGGTTGATACCTAGGCATACATATATCGCATAAAGGGAAGTGCACCAATATGATGAAATTCAGTTTTGTTAGAGGTATTCAACCTAAATTCTCTACACTGCCCATATTCATAGGGAATACACCCATCCCCTTTTCTTGCCCACTTCCCCTCCTTTGTTGACTGAGAAAGTATGCCTGCCTCAGAAGCACACATGGCCTAAGGAGAAATGTGGATGATCCAATTTTCTTAAGAACCATGGTATTGTACAGACATGGTATCAAATGTCTGGGATTCCAGCTACTGGGGAGAATGAGGCAGGAGGATCACAAGTTGGAGACCAGCCTCAGCAACTTATTGAGACCCTGTATCAGAATTTTAAAAAGGGGGTGGGGGGCAGCCCACTGGGGTTGTGGCTTAGTGATAGAATGCTTGACTAGTATGTGCAAGGTCCTAGGTTCAAGGCCAGTAACATAAAGTTTTATTTCAAAATGTATCCCCTTTTCTGTAGAGAACAACCCAAAGAGGGATTTCTTATATTTTATTTTGTGAATATAATTAAAAGACAAAGAAGAGAAAATATAGGGTAATTATAACCACCACCTTCCATTTTCCCCTCTTTGAGAATCTTAACTGCCCAAGATGTTTTACAGATCTGTGTATCTGCAGCAGCCTAGGGACCAAGATAAGGATAGTTTCTTGAGCCAGGAGGGCAAATTTTCTTAAAAGGAAAAGATGGTTGCCTTGGGGTTTTCTCTTCTTCAGTTGTCAATGTCTTCTTCCAGGATTTTAGGGCCTAGCTCCTGTCAGAGGAGCACATGGCCCTGACCTATCTGGTTTCAATAAGCCCCACATAGGTCCAAGTACTTGTGCAAATTGTCTTTAAAAACAGACCTGGGCTGGGCACACTGGCTTGAACCTGTAATTCCAGACTCAGGAGCCTGAGGCAGGAAGATTACAAGTTCAAGACCAACTTCAGCAACTTGGAAAAGCCCTAAGCAACTTAGTGAGACCCTGTCTCAAAACACAAAAAGAGGGCTGGGGATGGGGCTTAGTGGTTAAGCACCCTGGGTTCAATCTCCCCGTATCAAAAACAATAACAATAAAAACAAACAGACCTGGGCTTTCTTACTAGAAAATTAATTGTGAATCGGTACAGGGCTCCTTCTGTCTGAGTGGTTTTCAACTCCTGAACTCCGATCCCCATTCATTCACGTATTGATTCTATCTACCAGTAATACCCTGTTGGCAGGGCTGCTAAGCATTCTACAAACTGCAGAGCATGGATCATATAGTTAGCACACAAAAGAAGTTAAGAAAGAATAGTGACCTGGCATGCACAAGGCCCTGGGTTCAAATCCCAGCATCACAAAAATGAAAATAAAAAGAAACTGATTATTTAGGGTTGGAGCATGGAAACCAGCTATAGCTAACCTAGCTATAAATACCCCAGAACTTTGGGTGCTTGAACCATACCACCTGTGCTTTGGATGTGATTCTTCCCTCCCAGCAACCTCTCTGAAGCATTCATCTGCAAGGCAGTTGCTACTAGCGAGACAATTTTTGAATGCACCAAATATAAAACATCAATCCTCTCAGGAGAATCCTGTCAACTGGTGTTCTTAACCACAAGGTGTCACTGGCCATGGCTAGGTTAGGAATCAAACCTGGACTCCCTATTTTGTTACTCAAACTTACAAGCCCCTTATTGGGCTCATAAAACTTGTATTTCTAACAGGAAGGCAGGTAGAGAATGAGAGCTGCTAACCAACTTTCCAGAACTTGAAATCAATCATCCCCTCATCCCACTTCATTTTCACAGATGCATCTAGAAGAACTATGGCATCCCTGCTCTGCACCTTATTCCTTCAGCTGTAAGCATCCTTCCTCCCCACTCCCCTTGCCTATTCACTCACTTCAAGCTCTGTGGAAGATAAAAGTGGCATTGTTGTCCCAGACAAGGAAGAGAGCTGCAGATATTTTCTACCATGGGCACATGGATAATATCAGCTCAGGGTAAGGGGAGTCAGAGGTCTTTGTACTTCTTCCTGTGCCCAGGAAGTACCCAGCTCAGGTCAAAGGGGCCTGCAAGGCTCTTGCTGTGGGGTGGTGGGCAGAGTAATGTTAACAAAGCACTCAGACTATGCTGTATGCTGATGACTCAAGAATCCCATGTGGTCCCACATTCAAACTAGTTGGCCACTTCCAGCAACTAAAATAGACCTCTGATGCTAAAACAGCAGAAAACAGAAGAATAAGACAGGTATATATGCTGATTACAACTATGTAAAGCATACCTATAAAACTACACTTCTCAAGAACTTAAGAGAATAAAGAGCACATAGCTATTTTAGATTCCATACCACTCCTGCAATGTTTTTAATAGTACTTCTTTTCCCCCCAAGAAAATTGTCTTGCTGATCACATTAGATTACAACCTTTTAGCTAGTTTAGGAGTTAACTCCACAGATGATTTGATTCAGGGAGTAAAGAAGAACTGAATGCCTAGGGGGCTAGTGCTTTGGATTGGTCCTTTCCCCCTCCCTTATTAGGCTCAGGGAACCTACCAGAACACAGTTGCCAGTTTAGGATTGGCACTACAATGAGAAATTCCTTCCATGACCACAGCCAACCAAACAACACCAAGATGGGAGTTTAATATATTTGGGCAGGCACAGTGGCACACACATGTAATTTTAGTGGGTTGGTAGGCTAAGTAAGACAAGAGGATCACAAGAGTGAGGCCAGCCTTAAAAAAAAAAAAAAGAAAGAAAAAAGGCTGGGAATGTGGCTCAGTGGTTAAATGCCCCTGGGTTCAATCCCAAGTACCAGTACAAAAATAATAATAATTAAAATAAATTTTAAAAGGCCTGGGGATTTAGCTCAGCACCCCTGGGTTTAATTCTCAGTAACAAAAAAAAAGTGCCTTATATCTAGACATCTTTTAAAGTCAGGCTGCTAT